AGTTTAGTGCGCGGACCTAGGATTTCTGTACTGATGCTTTTCGACTATTTCGAGCCGACGGAATTCTATTGGACAATTTTAAATTTCTTTGTGAAACTTTCACATTTGGTAATGTCGTCTCGGGAGAAGAGCCAATGGTGGCTTTTAACCATGGAATTCTTTTTTAGCGTCGGAATTGTCTTACCTCTATCATACCCCTACATTGTCATGTGTAGTATGGTATGTTTTGTTATTTGATTGATTTCAATGTGAAGCGTTATGAGCTTTAGCATAACTTCAAGTCATGCCGTTAGACACCTACGTATTGCCTCCGATGGGCAGACACAAGTGAGTCGTTGCTGTTTTAACAATTTAAGTACTACCAAAGTCTTCGATGCTTTCGGTGCAACCGCTCCATATGTAACTATCGGCCTAACGATTTATCTGGAGTTAGTTCCACAGATGGGTGGAATCTAGTGTGAAGGTCTATTTGACCACATTAGTAATTTCTAACTCTCTGTCGCGAAGCATTAGCACCCTTGGGTCCGAAATTGACCTACTGGTGAAGGGACAATAATCGGTTTCGTTGATGTTTACCCCAACCGTACTGCACCATCTCTTTGCACAATATCGCAGAGAACGTTGTCGAATCCCCTTGTTGGTTAGCAGCTCCATAACAAGTGGGTCAGTACTACGCCCTAAAGAGGTCGTCGTACCTACGCGAATCTTTTGATTACCTACAGTGGTCTCAGCTTTTATAATGCACAGTACAGTTTGTATCCATCTGGTACTAGAGGTGCCACGTTTATCGTCTCTAGTACTTTTATTACACTTGCCGACGTTATGCAAAAACACATTCGATATATTAGAAGGCGTAGATTGCCACTTCTGCTCTATTGAGCGAACCTTGGATTTCGGCGGTTAACTTGAACGAAGCGTTATGCTTGGCTTTGTTTAATAGCCTACCAACCGATTTCAGTACTTTCAGTGCAGTATATATTTGCAGTAGTTTGGTTTATTTCGTTTGCAGTAGTCCACCAGGTTGGCAGGAGGCGTCGGGGACATATCTCCCGGAAAATTAGCCGCCGCATGGACAGAGTCAGAACCTTCATTTTCATTGGCCTGCACTGCAATCGTTCTGCCAGAGAGATCAAAGATTACCTTGTGTGTTTTTGTCATGAGCTCCCTGACTTCTCCTCGGTACACAGACGCGCGGTGCAAGATCATCTGGGTAACTTCTAGCTATCTTATGTGGACGACTGTCACAGTATTGGCTCCATGAGGAACAGATCTCCCTCGTTGCCAGCAACCATGGTTGTACCAGTTCCGGAGTAGGTCGGTTCCTCAACAACCACCATCTTGTCATCTGTTCCTGTTTTCTTTGCCATAGTTTTTGGTTTCCTACGCCTCATTACTATTTCACTAAACCTATAGTTTAGACGGAAACCTACTTTCCGGATGTGCTGTAAGACTCATTATCAATCCCCGATGCCGACGTCCATCACCCGCCAGACCGAGGCTTTTTTTTTTTTTTAATTGGTTTATAATGTGTCTAAGGTACAATTTTGAGCATGCACCACTGGTTGCCATCTTGAGGGTGCCACTTCCTGAAGGCATGTCATCGTCCTTAACATCCTCCTCCAACAACTCTTAGCGTGTAGTTGTACGGTTTTTGGCTTAAACAGTTCAGGTCAGGTCTATGTGTTCTAAGGGAACGACAAGATCTCTTGCGCCAGAGCACCTTGGCGCTGTTAGGCTACCGTTAATCCAAGGGCGGCCCGATGCTAGGAAGCCTCCGTTTGGTAAAAAGAAGAATTTGCTTCTGCCTACAAATCATTCAATTGGTCCGGGCGTTGCATATCACTATAGATTAGGAGGATTTTTGGTCATCGCGCAAACATGACCTCTTGCAGTCCGTCTAAGGAGTGCTAAGGAAAAACCGAATAGCTTTGCCCAGTCTATGTGCCGCTACCCATTTTCGTTTGGTTACTTTTCAGGAATATACCATACTGTAGATAAAACAGTTGCTGATATGTCGAGTCTGATGGTCATCTGAGTGATTTCCTTGCTGTTGTTGTTGTTGTAACGAGTACCTAAGCCCTGTTTAGCGAAAAGTGCAAAAGTTAATTGTCATCAAAATCACTTAGCGATAGATCCGGGAAACAGGCTGGCTCGGCGTGGTCTGACCAATGGGAGAGAGTTGTTAAGTGGGTGGGTTTAGCGGTGTATGCAAAAATGTGGTTAGTGTCATGTCTTTGCACGCAGGATATTTCTTATTTTGGGGTCTACTCTGAATTGGTAGGAGCTTAACTGCAACAGTATCCAGAACAAAGTTGCTCAAGTTTCTCACGAGACAACTCAAGCTCACGGTCTGCAATGGGTGGTTCTTCGACTCCAAGGACGACATTCGCTGGGAGGGAGACGATGAAGGTGTTAATAATTCCGCTGTGAATAGCTTTCAATACACATCTGAAGTTAATCGAATGTTCTTTTGTTGTTCCAAAGATGTGGTTCCGCTCCGGAAAAATTTGGGATCACTATGGAGGAACATCGTGTGATAGTCCGTATTGCGGTGTATTGGTGGCAGGCCGCTCCCTAGGATGAACTTCTATATTTAAGTAATGCGCAGCTCTTCGATTCCTTTCTGAAAAAAAACCTTCAATATCTGTAGCTGTTAATGGGGTTTTAAATATTATGAAACAACATGTTTCTGTGAAGTAGATTACACCTCGAATGACTGAAGTAGAACAACATGTCTCATAAATAGCATTTAATCAAAAGGGGTATATCCGGAAGAAGGCGGTAGTATCGATCCATCTACTCGCTTTAGTTCCACTTTAACTTCAGAGAGAAATTATGGAGTCATGTTTTGCTGAGACAAGTACGCAATTGAGCTTCTCCCAATCGGAGTGAATGTTGTTGACATTCATTCTTCTCGTTTAATGAAATTCAAAATACCTAATTTAAAAAAAAAATTATAGAATATGCAAAAAATGTTATTAAAAAGCTGGTTTGAGTAAACAACTGATTACATTAATACGCAGATATCTAATAATTTCGCGACGCACATACGTCTTAATTAATCTACTAAACAAACTGATTATAAATTTCAAAAAACGTCATTGTTTTCTATTTCTTGCGATTTCATATTACGAATTTTTGGACACATTTGAATTGGAACAAAACTGTCAATTACTTTAAAGTACGCTTCTCAAAAATGGGGATCAAGCTTGTTATTTGCGCTTCCATATATACTAAGATTAGTATTCCTACTCAAAACAAAATATATATGTTATAGTTGAAATAACTAGTAGACCGTTGCAGTTTAGAGAATATTTCATCTGTTTGCGCTTCTCTGTTTTGTAGGCGTTTTTCGATTGATCTGCTATTAGCTTATTTTGTATTGAAAATTTAACTAACATTTATATTAGCATTTCAAAACCTATCTTAGCTTGAATATTGAACTAAAGGCATTGGACGTTTATCGTATTTTATTTCATTCACAATTGTTAAATTTTTGCAGAAAAAAGTATTGAGTAATAACGATAAACCTTATTTTGACAGCTAAAAATTTTATATAAACAAACCAAAATTACATATTTTTGTGGATGGGTATTGAATTTAAAGTAAGACAAAATAGAAACATTTGTTTTCAGTTTTTTGTATTCTAGACCTTAGATGAACAAAATAAATGTATTTGTAAATTAACCAAGCAGCTAAATTCGTAGTTGCCAGCATTCAAGTGGCGAAATTTTGTTAGCGAATATTATATAAGGGCTGCCGGATTGTGTAGGAGACACAGTTCTAGTTAGAGTGCTGTTGTGTAATTAGCAATTGAGATATAAGAAAGAAGTTGTAAATTCGGTAGTGAGTATAAATAAAAATAAGTGTCTAGCCATTAAATTGCGACTTTTATTTAACAATCTAGTGCTCGAACTCGAGATTTAGTTACAAGATAGACGATTTATCGATAAAGCTGTTGCAATATTCCGTTTACAAATTTAAAAAAAAAAAAACTTTTTCTCCATGTCAAACACTATGAAATAATCTGAATACCAGCTGACTGTTCTTGTCCACATTACCAACAAAATTCGTTTTTTAGCGAAAATATGAAATAAGATAAGTGCGTTTTAGTTCTCAGCGATTTAGCTATTAGCTTATGACGGTCAAATAAAACACGCCTTATATATTCTAGAACATAAAATAATACTGATTGCAAACTTATGTTGACATTTTGGGTTTTTGTAAGTGATACTTTTGAGCGGTATCGCTGCTTAAGCTTTACCACAGTAAACTTTCAACTCACACTAATTGCGAAATGCAGACTGATATAAATGAGTCAAACTCGTTGTTAGTACCAAGGCTGGCACTAAATAAATAAGTTGCAAGTAGTTTATCTAAATTATTTTATAAAACAATAATTATATTATATTGATTTATATACGAAAAAGCATCACTTTAAATTCATTGAATATTCCATGGATTAAATGGCCTTTTATATTTTTTGAAGCATATTCGAAAGTAATTTTCGTTTCAATAAAGAGTCGTTTTTGCTTCTTATTAAACGTGACACAGAAAGGGTCAATTCTGCAAAAATGTACTAGGAGATGCTGTTCCTTTTATTTTGAAATATAGTTGCTTCCAAATTTCGACATGCCTCATTCAGATCCCGGTTCCATGATTGCAAAAGGCTTTTAAACTGTTTTGTTGTAACCTTGATTTGTACAAAATGGTTAGTTAATTTTTTTTTTTACATTTCACTAAGAATTCATTCAGCCACTTTCCGATTTCTATAACTACTACTATATGCTTAACTACTATCTTAAATTGTAAACAGTGCCAGGGACGTTAAAAAAGAAGATTAGATAAGTAGTTTATATCGTATTAAGGATTTTTTAAGGATTAAAATGCGGTTTCCGTTTGAACTTAAGTTACTTTACTTTACCCTACTGACTCTAACCAAATTTAAAAAAAACAAGTAATTTAATGTTATGTTGTCTATATTTTTTTTAATTTTTCAGTGGTCTGTGTCAAAACCGTCTTCGGTGAAGCTGTCCTACAGATTCTAGCGACTCATTAATAAATGTAAGAGGGGTCGTTCGAAATCAGGATTTTTCTGTCATAACAAACTTTTTGAGAAAAAGTAGAATCTGTTTTGGAAAGATGACACTCCCAAGTGCTGCCCGAGTTTATACAGATGTGAACGCACACAAACCGGATGAATATTGGGACTACGAGAATTATGTAGTTGAATGGGCTAATCAGGATGATTACCAGTTGGTTCGCAAATTGGGCCGTGGAAAATACTCGGAAGTATTTGAAGCTATAAATATTACAACGACGGAGAAGTGTGTGGTTAAAATCCTCAAACCAGTAAAGAAGAAGAAAATTAAGCGTGAAATAAAAATTTTAGAAAATTTGCGTGGTGGAACTAATATAATTACTCTATTAGCGGTTGTAAAAGATCCCGTTTCACGTACCCCCGCATTAATATTTGAGCACGTCAATAACACCGATTTTAAACAATTATATCAAACTTTAACGGACTATGAGATCCGTTATTACTTATTTGAATTACTAAAGGCTCTGGACTATTGTCATAGTATGGGTATTATGCACAGGGATGTAAAACCTCATAACGTTATGATTGACCACGAAAATCGTAAACTACGCCTGATTGATTGGGGTTTGGCAGAATTTTATCATCCTGGCCAGGAGTACAATGTTCGAGTAGCGTCTCGATATTTCAAAGGACCGGAGTTGCTTGTTGATTACCAAATGTATGATTACTCGTTAGACATGTGGTCCTTGGGCTGTATGTTAGCTTCAATGATTTTTCGGAAAGAACCCTTTTTTCATGGGCATGATAATTATGACCAACTCGTCCGTATTGCCAAAGTGCTTGGCACTGAAGAATTGTATGCATATTTAGATAAATACAATATTGAGCTAGATCCTCGTTTCCATGACATTTTGCAAAGGCATTCTCGAAAGAGATGGGAAAGATTTGTCCACTCGGATAATCAACATCTTGTTTCACCAGAGGCCCTCGATTTTCTTGATAAGCTTTTGCGTTATGATCACGTTGAAAGGTTGACTGCACGTGAAGCAATGGCTCATCCCTACTTTTTACCAATTGTGAACGGGCAAATAAAATCTACCAGTCAGCAATAAAAGAATATACAATTGTAAACATCGGAGTAATACGTTGTCCGAATGGAGAATTAAAGTAACTTCATGGATGAGTAACTTAATGAATACCACGAAAAAATTAGTTTAGTACGAATCGACTCCAAAACAGAAGAGGAATATAAAAAATTTTTAATAAACCATGAAATTATACATAACTTATTTAATAAAAAATTATAATAAAATATAAAACAAGATCTACATATTAATTCAGAAGAAGAAAAATAAAAATAGCAATAATGAAATCAATGTGCCAATTTTACACATGTATCATGATAAAAATTGCATACACTATATACAAAAACGTGAAAATAGAGTATAAGCTCCTGATCAATTATTTTGTCCAGTATTTTATGAATTTTGGAAATTGAACGCATTTTTTCCAATTTAATAAATTACCAAAATTTATCTAAGAAAATCCTTAATTTTTAAGTGCTTTATGAACTTTGTAAATAATACTTACATTACTAAATTTATGTGCGTTGACTCAGTTGTTCAAGTTAATACTGGCATTTTTAAAAGATCGGAAAATTTATTTACTAGTTATCAATTTATAATAATGTTTAATTATTATATTAGTTTGATTATTATATTTATATAGTTTGCTTATAATGCATCTATAGAAAATATAAATTCCTACAAAAATATTACTTGAGAAATTCATAAAGCATATAAAGAGCAACGAATATTTAGAAGATCATATTTGGTAAATTATTAAGTTATAGTAGTTATAAATAAATAAAAAATATTGTATACGAGTAATGTCTTCCTTCAGATATTCAATGCATTCAAACTCCAAAATTCCGAAAATATTGTAAAAAATTGCTCACGAACAGTTTCCTGATTTTGAATTTCTACACACTATAACATGGGTTAATAGTAAGAGAGGATCTAGAGTGACCCTGCGCAACTTAGTTCTGGATATTGTAGCAGGTTAAACTCCTACCTATCCAGAATAGACCCTGACATACCAAACACATGTCCTGCATGCAATGAGTCTCCGCATGACACTAACCACCTCTTTGCATGCCCAACAAACCCCACTCATCTAACACCCTCTCCTATGGTCCGACCCCGTCGAAACAGCTCGTTTCCTGGGCCTTCCGTTAGATGACCTCGACGACAACGAATCTAGAATTTATCACCCAAACGGGGATTAGATAATCGTTACAACAACAACAACAACAACTATGTGAAAATGAGTGAAATCAGGTGACCACCAATTTCAGATTCTATCGGATTTTTCACTTTCCACTATGAAAATCAGCAACAATGAATGTATCAGGATAAAACTTTGCCTGAATAGTGCGCTTAAAGTATACCACCTTGTGACTAAAAATTGTCTAAATCGAACCAAAACTGTTTAAGCTCCTAGGTACTGAATATGTGGACCCCAGTGCGTATAGTTGACTTTTTACCGAAAATATAGGTCAATGTGTAATATATGTAATTAAAATTCACATAATAAAAATAAATGATACTCTCGATAATAGTATATTTTTGTGTCAAAATGGATTGCAAGTTGCGAGTATAAAATGTTTGTTACACCCGAACTTAAAACTTCCTTACTTGATTTACATTATATGCTTTTAATGAGAAATTTGCGATTCTGTTCAAATTTTGTATAGCAGGTACGCCTGCTGGTTTGGCTTGCATTATACTGTCTGCAGTAATAATTAACGGTACTTGAAAGTTCGAGTTTCTTAAGCACTGTTTTGCGGAGTCAGATTAAGTAATTTATATCACACATATTCGCTTTTAATGATTATTAATGAAATTTTTGATAGAACAAATGCCGAAAATTGTTTGCACGAAATTGTAGCTTAGGTAAGTAAAATAAGAATATGGGACTAAAAATTTATCCGTTAAGCCGTATAAAATGCGGTAGAAGCCAATAAAGTTATTTTGAAGACATTAAATATTACTGTATGTGACGAAAATATCGAAGAGCCTCAAAGAAACCGGGATGAAAGCGAAAACTAAATAATATATAAATAAACGATTGCTTAGAGCTAAGTATGTAACTGGTTTAATGGTCTGATCAGAACAAAAATTATTTGAGATCTAATGGTTGGTATAACTTCATACCATATTCAATAAACGGTAAATTTGGTGGTGGTTATCTGTGCTATGGGGTATTACAAGTAAGTCAAAAACAAATTGTCTGGAACCAGGGTCACTCTATTTATGCCAAATATGACCCTAAACACAAGTCAAAAATACACTGAAATGGTCAGAACAGGAAATCCATATGTATGGATTGGCTGGGGCAGTCACCTGACATAAATTGGAAAATTTGTAGAATATATTAAGGAAAAGAATAGTTCGAAACTTAGTCCTTGAAAATGTTGCGGCCGTCACTGAAGATTGTTTAATTAAAGCTCACAAATTTTAAATATTGATTTGTAAATTTTCCTCAAATAATGAATCTAATTTTAAGCTAAGGTCAAGCATATTAAGTACTAAAATTTAAACGAACGATGTGCCATAAACACAAGAACAAAAGTGTTCATTTAATTTAAGTATCTTAGTTCCACCTAGCTGAATATACACATAGTCAATAAAGTCTGCGTTCACCCACACTATTTTTCAAGTGAAGTAAAACACAATGTAAATAGGTAATTCAGTTCAAATTTTCTACATGTATTTCTTCTATTATTTTTAGTTCAAAATGCAAAACAAAATGTATACTCTTATTTTAATTTTTGTGATAACGGGATTTTAGTGTAAAAGAAGTAAACATAGGCAATTAAGTCTGGAGTAGGTGTGACTTGATGATGACAAATTATAGGCCTGACTTGCAATTTGCGTTGGACTCTTACTTTGTCTATCATTACATTTGAGAAAGGGCACAGATAACTGCCCATATTCATGGACAGATGAACCAAAGATTGAAAAGTCTAGTCAGGGTGTATGTGTAGAGAACATCCATAATCTACAGGCCGTTGATCTTGCAGTTTGCATGGATTGGTGAGTGCGAGCGAGTGAAAGATATAGCAGCGCATTTGTTCAGTATCAATATCTTGCTGTAGCGTTAAGAGGTCAGTCATACAGGCAATGGGTCTGAACATTTTGAGATCATCTGCATACAGCAGATGGTCTGCGACAATATTATTACCAATGTCGTTGATAAAATATTGAAGAGTACTTGCCTAAATGAGACCTTGTGGTTCACCAGATATCATTCATATTTATAAGATAGATAGCTATCGCCTCTGATGAAGACGTCTTGCTATAAGTATGAATGTATCCAGGGCAATGCACTACTCCTAGCTACTAGTATGTAGCTACTCAACTTGCGCATAGAATTTCGTGGTCAAAACGACCAAACGCCTTGCTAAAATCAGTGTAAATGCTATGAATACACATGCCGGGGTCCTTAGTATTAAGCATTTTGTTAATTTATAGAAACAAATTTGTTGTAGTGGATCTGCCCCAGTGAACCCATGTGGTTTGGTGGTTATGATGTGTTTAAAAGATTGTAGAAGCTGTGATAGCACCAATTTCCATGTGTTTGGTGGTTATGATTGTTTAAAAGATGTAGAAGCTGTGATAGCACCAATTTTCAAATAGATACGACGATAATTGGTGACCATCGCTTTGATCCGTCCTTGTGTATTGGGGTTATGTATGATAATTTCCAGTATGATGGAAGATACCACGGCTAAGGGATTCACTGAATATATATTGGTAGACCATTAGATTCAGCACCCTTTCTGGGGTCGAGTGCAAAGCTGTTTAAGTACTTCGTCATAGATACTATCAGATCGTTTATATGCGTGCATGCGATCCCGGGTTGAAGATAGCTGCATCTGCGACGTAGGTAGCAGTTGTTTGGTACTAAGTGCTGTGGAAAATTAAACAAAAGGTTGCAAATTCAGGCCCGGAGTCAGCCGACCGATCGTCCCATATCATGGATGGAGGTATGTCACTGCCGCAGCGGTTTTGTCTTAAAAAAATTCCTTCAACTCGACAAAATTCTTCCGCTACAACAACAACCTATATTGTGAGAACGCAATGTAAATAAATACTCACCACCGCTTCTAGCATCCCTAACATGGATCTCTCCAGAATTGGATTTTCCGTGGAAACGAGTCAGCTGATTGCTCTCTTACAAAGCAGGGTTGTCAACGAATCGGATTAACGAGGATTAAAAAGTGGGCGTGGACTCGCACCTAATAGTTTTACTCTATATATCTCCCAAACCATTCAAGCCATATGACCACACTTGCACAGCACAAATCATTCGACACCTCCTGCGACATCGTGAAAATAGGTGAATTGGATGACAACCAAGCCCACTCCCCATACAACGGTTTTGTTAAAACACTACTAAAAGGGCGATAAATCAATAAAGGGCTTTATAGGAGCCAATGCCAATATTGGACAATGGGTATAGCCTCGCCCACATTTAGGTGAAATATATATCTCCGGGCCTACTCGACCAAATTCAACCAAATTTGGTATATAGGATTATTTTGAAATTCTCATGTTACAGTGCCAAATGTTCCAAATCGGACTTCGGTTGACCTTATACCATATATGTATGTACATCGATCAATATGTAAAATATCTAGCAAATTAACTGAACGTATAATATTGGATATACTTTAGTTTAATGCCGATGTATTATGCCGAGAAATTATTCCACTTCATATAATTTCCGATATTCTAAAAATCGTATATTATTGGTTTAGCGCTGTACATGACTGGAGTTGGTCTTAGGCTCATATACCTAATATCATCATATCGATCTTCTGGTTGACGTTTTTCACAACATTTCAATATCTTAAATTTAGCCCCTTCGATTAACTTAATGTCAGATATATCTCTTTTAGGATGATTTTATAAAATTTTCGCTGACGGGAAGTAAATATAGTTATAAACTAATTGAGTCTATGACCTATAATATAACTTAATAAAATGCCAAATTTGATTGTAATTCACCTTCGACTTTGTTGAACAATGAATGTTGAATTCTTTCGCAACATTTTTTGATATGAAGTTTTGCCAACACCTGAAGGTATATCCACGCTTTTATCCTTGTAAGTTGCAAGAGTAT